CCATCCCAAGAAGCAAATCACTACTCACTACATCAAAACGGTCATTAAGCTCTTGAAGTTGCTCATCAATGACAATAAAAAAGACTTCAACATGCAAGTGGTGCGCATAACTAACACCCGAAGACTTACGTTTTGACTTTCCGGGAAAATAAGACTCATCCAACTTGGGAATCAAGATATCATGCACATCACAAAATGAGGAAACATCATCCAACAAAGATTCCCATCCATTTTCCCTCATATCTTGCAATCTTTTCTTTGTAATATTAAGAAACTCCACGGCATTAACAATATCTTGATCTTTTTTTTGTAAAATCTTACTCAACTCATTTGACATTGCCAACACTTTCAACATCAAGTGAAGCACAAAAATAAATTTAAATGTTTTAATCTTTGTTAAAAGATACTCCGCTTGATTTCTATCACTTGATGTGGACCCTTCAAGTTCAATCACTTCAAGAACATGAACAATAGATGAGAAAATAACAATAAAGTTATCTAAAGTTTTGAAATATGATCCCCAACGAGTATCACCTGGTCTTTGAAGCTCACGTTCTTGATGCAGATGAGAAAATAACAATAAAGTTATCTAAAGTTTTGAAATGTGATCCCCAACGAGTATCACCTGGTCTTTGAAGCCCACGTTCTTGATGTAATCCTTGGCCTTTTTGAACTTCACCGGATTCAAATAATTGCTCTAACTTTTTGGCTTGGTGATCACGAAGTAAGTCTCTACGCTTGAAAGATCCTCCAACAACATTCAACACATTACTAACATGATCAAAAAAGTCTTCAACATCCAAATGTTTTTTAGCAATAGCCACTAGTGTTAGTTGCAATTGATGAGCAAAACAATGAATGTAATATGCCGATGGACTATCTTTCATAATCAAAGTTTTGAGCCCATTTATCTCTCCTTTCATATTACTAGCCCCATCATAACCTTGTCCACGTATTTTGGATGGACTTAGTGAGTGAACGGAAAGTAAAGAATAAATCGCTTTCTTCAATGAACATGCCGATGTATCACTAACATGGACAAGACCGATAAATCGTTCAACTACTTCACCATTCTTATTAACAAAACGCAAAACAAGAGCCATTTGTTCTTTGTGAGAGATGTCTTTTGACTCATCAACTAATATACCAAAGTAATCTCCATTCAAGTCCCCAATTATTGCTTTCAATGTTTCTTTTGCACAAGCATTGGCAATATCTTTTTGAATCATAGGACAAGTCAACGTATCATTTTGTGGGGCATTTTCCAATATCACTTTTCCAACATTCGGATGTTTGTCCCCGTGCCATCGCAAAAATCCTAGAAAGAAGCCTTGATTAATTGAAGATTCACTTTCATCTTGACCTCAAAAAGGTAATCCTTATTGCAAAAGAAGTCTTGACACATCAATTGAGGCTTCCAAACGCATTCGATACTCATTTTTTAACTTTTGAGAATGCTTATCAATAACAACTTGAATTGATTGATGATGATTTGACAAATCTAGCATCTTGTTGAAACATTTGTCATGAATACTATTAACATCACCAACATGTTTACGGAATCTTTCAAGTGCCCTATTCCAACTCCTAAAACCCGTTTTTGTGTAAAACTCACTTGTACTTCCATGGAAAAAATCATCTTTGAATAAATAACAACATAGACAATAGACAGAATCTTTCTCCACGCTATACTCCAACCATTTAGAATATGGACCTTCAAACCAAATTTTACAAAATTGACGCATTCTTTTTCCAATTTCAGTTGGAGGATATGAATCCATTTTTGGTTGACAAGGCCCTTTTTGAATATAATGTTTCCTCACTTCATCCTTTATTTGAGGGTTATAGTGAGCAATTGGTACTCTTTTTCCTGGATCGGCTTCAAGTGAATCTAAATTAAGGTCATCTATAAGACTAGAAGGATTGACATTCGTACTAGAACTTGCTTGAGAATGGTTAAATTTCACAAGAAACTTCTCCATCTCAATTCACAAAACTAGAACACTTTCCTACAAAAATTAAAATTCAATTCAACTCACAATTAATTCAAATTTAATAGGGTAAGGCATAGTTAATTCAAATTAACATGATTCATATCACACAATTTTTAACCAATAATGTCTTACAATGTTCATTAGAAATTTAGAATATCAAAGTAAAATCAAAACTCTTGTCTAATATGAAATCAATCATCACTGATTAAAACTTAAAAGAACTCAAGAAATAGAAATTAAAAAAAATCTTACAAAAATAGAATTGCAAACTTACAATCTATAAAAAGTTGTGGATGGATGGAGAAAAGTGAAAACAAAAGCACCCAAATGAGGCGTAGCCGCTGAACGGAATGCTAAGACAGGCAGGGGGCGGCAACGACAAGAAGTGATTTGGGTTCGGAATGGGGTAATAAAATTTTTGGAGAAGTTGAAACTTGGAGGAAGAAGGGTTTGGAAATAGTTGAAGAGAAAGAGAACACTTCTAAGTCAAAGGAGTAATGTAATTAATTTAATTTAAGTCAATAACAATTATAAAATAAAATAAAATAATGTGCCAGCTGTTTTCCTTAAAAAAAAAAAAAGGGGGTCTTGGAGCCTTTTTTTCACTTAAAAAACGTCTTCAACAATTTTTCAAAAAATAGGTTCAAAGGGGATTCGAACCCGCAACCTCAACCTTCTAAAGTTGCCCTCCTACCATGGCACCACAAGCCAATTTTGTTCTGTGGGTGACACAGTTTATATTTATATAAATATTATGTATATATAGAGTTTCCGTCGAAGTTCGGGGGTGGCGTGGCACCCCCACAGCCCTTCATAGGTCCGCCCCTGTTGGTGGATCAATAGCTAATCCTTGGAATTCATCTAATCCATAATTTTGATTTGGTGATAAGATTAGTATCATAGTTTTGGTAATCTTTAATTTTGCAAGGATATAGACAATGTTAACATAAAAATGGACCCATTTTCATATGTTTTTATCTGTGAGTTTTGAATTGGCGGTAAGTGACTGGCATCATATATCAATATTTTGATATATATGTCACGATCCAAAAATGAACGTGATGGCACTCGTCTTATCCCAACCAAGACAAGTCAACCTAAAACTCATCCTTTACAATAAAATGCGGAAATTTTATAATCAACTCAAAAATACCCCCAAAATCTGGTTGTCACATGTACAAGCCTCTAAAGTATTATAACTGATTCAAAAAAAAAAAAAAAAGCAAGTCTCAAATGACATTGTTTCTATAATAGAACAAGATCATAATTAAGGAGAAAGAAGGTC